TGCATTTTTTTCAATAGCTATTTAGCAATTGATAGTGTTCTTAGAAACTTTATCGTCATTAGATTTTATAGGACGACCATCTTGATAATTTCATCAATACCAGGATGCACTGCGTCAATAAAATCAGAGCATATATGGAACATAAACACGCCATATCAACAGTCCTTATGTCCTTATGTCGTCTAGAGGTATAGCATCGTTTATGTCTTGACTGTCTCTTWGGTGGTGATTTTGTAGTATAACCGCTGACTGGTGGTGTATGTCGGCGATAATGTCTTGGTTATATTCCTAGAATCAATCAGTCAAACGAGTTTACAGAATAAAATAATACACTCGTGCTGAAAGCACCCTATGAGAAAGAATTAATGATAACAGCGTTCTTTAACCTGTASACCAGCTAAAAGTCCTCCAACTTGGTAAACCAGGTCAAAGAATGTTGGTCTTTGCTTTGGATCCGGGCTCCAGCATTTCCACATGATCGAATASCTAGATATTTGGATAAAAAAGAATAAAAGATGRGATGAGATGAAAAAGCAAATGAAATAGAGACACATCCCTTGTTATAGTTTACTTTATCAACCTAAGATACTCATGATATAAAACGTCTAGTGAATTAACGAAGCTTAGGCCTGTAATGGAGTAGTGTAGATTTTAGTATGCGCCTGACATACAGTTAGACAATTTGTGAGAAATAATATCAGTAAAAWGTTTTTGTCAAAGTTTCTTGCACTTTCCTCGATGAAATCATAGTTCAGCAYCCAGTCACGATATTTTGTTAAATGAAAAAAGTAAAAAGAGACTTTGTGACTGCTGCAAAAACTGAATCAGCATTTATACGATCTGCAAGCAGCTCAAYGCATTGCTTCTTATGGGAAATCYATTCTACTACACTTACAATTCACGTGACGTGTCAGGTGGTTTGGGTAGTCGGTAGCCWTGTTGTAGGTGATGGAGGATCTGAAGACCGGAAAGTCCTCCATACGGAACCAACCCTACAGTATGAATCAAAAAWCGCAACACCTTATGAACAACGTAARAACGCAACGACTGMGTACAAGTAACGTATATACGTATGAAAGGCTTACGTTACGTATCTACTTCAACAGACCAAGTGAAATAATTCATGTACATATGTCTATATAAGATTTGTTTTCAAGGATATTCTACCCAAGAGTAGCTTAGTCAGTACCTTGACTTTCGATTTCCCATAAMAGAACTCCATAGGACCACCTGAATGACAATAATAACAAAAATGAGTTTACTCAAGTGGAGAGTCAAATGCGGAGAATAGTCTTCTTTATGACTCACTGCGCCATTTTGAAAGATAGGTGTGCCTTTGTACTGGAGCGAGAATCCGTTGAGCCTGCAATGATAGATACCTGTGATCGTGAATAATTGTCTGCAAGTGTGAAAGACGGTATCTATCATTGCACGCTTAACGGTCGTCTCGCTTCGATGCAAAGGCACAGCTACCTTTCAAGATGGCGCAGGGAACCATGAAGAAGACTATTCTAGACAGATTGTTGTTGAAATTGTGGACAATAATACTAGCCACCATTAGTCCAACCGTAAAGGACAACAACTCATGCGTTATGTTTAACGGCAACGACAACATAACAACAACAACAACAACGACAGCACAGGCAAAGAACACAAAAGCAAAAACCTTCAACGCTCGCATTATCCTTATCAGAAGTATTCTCTGGAACAGTAAAAAACTGGAGAAATTATGAGAAAGAGAAAAAGATAGATGTGAAAGAGGAGAAAGGCCTTATTTTCCCCCTATATCTCTCTCCCTTGTTTCGCCTTTGCCATACCCCCAGTGGACTAACACATGGATTAGTTTATAAGTATAATTCTCACACATCAGTTGCTGTACTGTATTTAAAGTCTTGAAGAGATTCGGGAGCCATCCATCGCACAGGAAGAATACCCTGTAACGATATTAAGAAATAGAACTTATAAAAACCACAGCTTATAAGATGTTTGTACTCATAGAGTCACTGATTATCTGATAAACATGTCAAGAGTACTATCGATGTTAGGATAGGAACTAGAAACAAAAGTGTTTTGAAGCTTTTTTAAGTAATTAATATTCATGATGAATATTAATATTTATTTCAAACTCGTCAGCAATACCTACCCCACAAGTATTCTCGTAAACACCCGACTCGTAAAYGTCACGTGACAAACCAAAGTCTGAAACCATGGCAACCATGTCTTTGCCAAGAAGGATGTTCCGAGTTGCTAAGTCGCGATGTATATACTGAAAAAAAACAACAAATATTAAAACATATCTTTCAGTTGCGGGTTTTTTTTATTCTTTTATTCAGATTTATAATTGGTGGTTCCTAAATACAAAATTACCATTGTGAAGTCATATGACGTCGTAGTTTAAAAGAGGTACTACTTTATGCATCCTTTATGCATCTCATCCAATCCAATTCCATTCTATCCCATCCCATCTCATCCCATCTTTTCCCATCCCATTTAATCCCATCTCATCCAATCCCTTACCCTCTGGTTTTCAAGATAAGACATCCCTTTTGCAACATCGTGCGCAAACCTCAATCGTTCTTTCGCGGTAATTCCTTTGCGACTACGATCTTGAGGTTGGTTTTCATATAGAGGCAGTGGCCTGGTCTCTTTGATGTAGTCAAGAAGGCAACCGTTTGGCGCAAATTTAACTACAATCAATGGAGGACCTTTGCAAAGACAAAATATCGTTAATTTGGTATTCAATTCCCGTTATTCCCTCGTAATATTATTGCTATCATAGTACGCGCTCTCTGATTGGTCAAATGTTATTTTTTTATTTTACCGGTTAAAGCAAGGATGCGAAAATGCTATAATATAAAAGCAATAAACAACATATCTCGTGCGTTCCTGGTGAAATAAACCACTTGGGATATTAGGAAAACACTCAAAAGGCTGAAAATCTCTCGACTCCGGCTCGAGATTGTTTACGCCTTTTTTTCGTTTGTCGCGTGGTTTATTTCACAAGAAACGCACGAAAATGTGTTGTTTATTGCTTAAATAAAGTCCCATAATTGGTTCTCCTGTATAATGTTAAGATTGACCTACCATTGGTTGTACACGCACCAATAAGGCTGACTATGTTGGGATGGTCACCAATGGTCGACATGATTTTGATTTCTCTGCAGAAGTCACGGGCTTCTTTCCCGGTCGAATTTTCTGGTGATTGAAGAAAGTATGAAATATAGAGGACAACGTTTTGTCCGTAGACACAAAGTAACGAAGAAAAGCACCGTCTATTATGAAAGGCTCTTCTCAGCTCCATTTATGATGAGGTGTTCATTGAGATACGATGGATTTGACTAAAATAAACACTCTCACTGACCACTAACCGAGGTTTTTTAAAAGGCACAGTTAGTATAAATAAGTAAACAGTTTGTATAAAACAAAAGATCGGTGCTACTGAGTCTACCTTGCCTGTTCATTAACGTGTTTATGGTCACTGTGCCCGAGTTGAATTGCTCTGACCAGTCTTTAGATAGAGTGAACACACAAAATGATCGGGGGGACACAAATGTGTACTAAATTTGCAAATGAAACTGAACATTTTTTGAATTACCATTACTTTTTATAATAAGAATTATAAGTGCATTCACACTACATTCATGAAACCATCAGATAAAATAGATTCTTATGTATTATTCTTAATAGAGGAAAACTTCAATTGGCTGAGAAACACAATCGTCGTCAGTAGTTTATACAAAACATCCGTCATGTTTATTCTTAATTAATCAATACCATGATGCATTTCGCCACAACTACAAAAACATTACCTTTTAAAGTTTTCACTGCGCAGTACTTTCCACGCTCTTCCCCGTCTTCTGTGAATTTCAGAAATCCTTGAAACACGTTGCCAAACGCCCCTGAACCGATCTGATTCTGGAGGGTGAGGTCACCACGAGGTATCTCCCACCATGGCTTAACGACATCGATTTTAAAAAGCTTGAACCAGTCCACCTCGCAGTCGTAAGGGTTTTCCATTAGCTAATATAGATAGTCAGAAACACGGCAAAACAATCAAAGAGCTCATCCAACATATACTTTCACAGGTTATTTTTTTGGTCGGGGGTAGACAGTCAGTACTCCGAAATATCGTTGGCTTTAATTTTTCGTAAATACCACTTAACGGGATTTGAACGTGTAAAATACCATAACAGATACCAGCTAATACATATAAATGACATATTTTTACATATACCAGGGGCGGATCCAGCATTTTATGGGGGGGGGGGGGGTGCTTTTGTCATTAATAATAGCTAAAAACTAAGTATAACAGATGGAACGGTGTTGATAGTGGCAGACACACGTTGTGTATGCTACTCGGATTTCTCGAAAAAAGAACAACAGGAGGATGAAAAGCCAAAAAAAAGCACCTCCCCTGGATCAGCTCCTGTATAAAGACATATTTTTGAATATACAACGACAAGGCCACGCTGTAGATACGACGATCATACCGAACCGTTACAATCTATTGATGGTTTTCAACCATTCGCATGAGAGTGAGCAAAACGAAAAGGTCCACCAGTCACGGTGGTGGTTTTCTTTTGTCAGGTCCACCAGCAATGGCGGACATCTTTTGCTCAACTTTCTCTCCTGGGAATGGTTGAAAACCATCAATACATTGGCTATAACAATATCATTTTATAGCTTTGACTCTTCCACAGTCCCCTGCTGGGCTTTGGGTCTTGAGACCCAAAGCCCAGCAGGGGACTGTGGAAGAGTCTATTTATAGCTTCCTCCTCAGGCAACTCTTTTTCCTCCTTTGGGCTTCCCCATTCTCCCTCTTTTGACTCCCAAAAAAGACAGGAAGCCCGTGATTCCTTCTGATGCCGGCGGAGAATGCTTACTAATCTTTTTACCCTATTGATCCGTTCTTTTAACTCTTTCTCCCTTTTCTGTTTCTTACGCAACCATCTCCAGGATAAAACTCCAAATATGAGTGAAAGGAGAATGATGGCTGCTATCAACAGCATAATGATATCTAGAGATGCTAGATGTGGTTCTGAGTCGGGATCTGTAATTTAAACACAGAATGATAGTTGAGCCATTATGACGTCACATGAANAAACATCAATTGGCTGAGAAACACAATCGTCGTCAGTAGTTTATACAAAACATCCGCCATGTTTATTCTTAATTAATCAATACCATGATGCATTTCGCCACAACCACAAAAACATTACCTTTTAAAGTTTTCACTGCGCAGTACTTTCCACGCTCTTTACCGTCTTCTGTGAACTTCAGAAATCCTTGAAACACGTTGCCAAAAGCTCCTGAACCGATCTGATTCTGGAGGGTGAGGTCAGCACGTGGTATCTCCCACCATGGCTTAACGACATCGATTTTAAAAAGCTTGAACCAGTCCACCGTGCAGTCGTAAGGGTCTTCCATTAGCTAATATAGATAGTCAGAAACACGGGAAAACAATCAAAGAGCTCATCCAACATATACTTTCACAGGTTATTTTTTTGGTCGGGGGTGGACAGTCAGTACTCCCAAATATCGATCGTAAGGCAGATACGTTGGCTTTAATTTTTCATAAATACCACTAAACGGGATTTGAACGTGTAAAATACCATAACAGATGCAAGCTAATATATATAGATGACATATTTTTTTCATATATCAGGACCGGATCCAGCATTTTATAAGTGGGGTACTTTTGTCAGTAATAAATAGCTTGAAACTAAGTATAGCAGATGGAACGGTCTTGATAGTGGCAGACACATGTTGCGTATGCTACTCGGATTTCTCAAAAAAAAGGGGGAGGATAAAAAGCAGGAAAAAATTACGTCGTCCAAAAAGGGGGTGCACCCACACCCAAAGCACCTCCCCTGGATCCGCTCCTGTATAAAGACATATTTTTGAATATACAACGACAAGGCCACGCTGTAGATACGACGATCATACCGAACCGTTACAATCTATACATTGGCTATAACTATATCATTTTATAGCCTCCTCCCCAGTCAACTCTTTTTCCTCCTTTGGTCCTCCCCATTCTCCCTTTTTTGACTCCCAAAAAAGACAGGAAGCCCGTGATTCTTTGTGATGCCGGCGGAGAGGCTAATCTTTTTACCCTGTTGATCCGTTCTTTTAACTCTCTCTCCCTTTTCTGTTTCTTACGCAACCATCTCCAGGATAAAACTCCAAATATGAGTGAAAGGAGAATGATGGCTGCTATCAACAGCATAATGATATCTAGAGATGCTAGRTGTGRTTCTGAGTCGGGATCTGTAATTTAAACACAGAATGATAGTTGAGCCATTATGACGTCACATGAAAACACTATTGTTTTAACGCTATTTCCGCTGGTTTTGAACATCGTTTTAAGATGTAAACAYACTGTGACGTCATAATGAAATAGGGCAATTGTTTTAGTGACAAATAAGTACTTTATGTTAGAATAAACTCGTTTTGTCTTGCATTAGCGGCGGATTTATTGACTATAAAAGACATTCAACAAGGCGATGGCCACAATAGATTTGTCCCAATTTTTTGAAAAAGTTTCCTGTTTCCTGATGTACTCACTCTTTTTATTGTTGTGTTCCTCACTTTGAGTTTGTACAATCAAATCCTGACTCGGCATTTGTCCGTACGCATTCATTGACACAACACGCATCATATATCGCGTATCATGGCTTAAATCCTTTACAATAACTCTTGTTTTATCAGAGTCTACGGAATCGACTCTGAAATACTCCATTTTAGTGTCTGCCTTCTTGTACTCGATAGTGTAGCTAGTGATGTTATATGGGTCGTGGTAGGCAGGTGCTGACCAACCAATGGTGGCCGACTTGGTAGTGAYGTCATTTTTAGTGACRTTGACTGGTGGCGGTGGAGAAGCTGTTAAAAACAAGRTATAAATCGATCAATTCAACTTGCGAGTGTAACAGAATGGCTTCTTGAGTGTTTAAATTTTTGGAGATGTTGTACTAAAAAGACGACTTATTGTGTAGTTTCGATGAATTATAAGTACCGAAACAAATATGTTTATGAAACCATCACATTAAATTGCTTTAACTAAGTGCATGCCAATGCAAAGTTTGAAGAATCGTGTGCTTTGTTCCGGCGAATTTTTTTCAGACTTYCAAACGTAATCCGCGAATTAGGCCCTGTTTACATGAGATAGGGTGCCCCTAGGGGTAGAGCCAAACTCTTTGTTTTGAATTCTCCTGGGAAAAGAAAACAAAGTAGTTAGCCCTACCACGTAGGGGCACACTATCTCATGTAAACGGGGCCTTAGACTTTTTTTTTATCATAGTAGGTGATCATTTATAACGAAGTTCTTGATAACACTAAGTATCGTTATTGCCTAATGCAAGCCAATCAAGGGTGCTTCTTTGTATTACCTTGAACTTGCAAAGACGAAAAATGCAAAGACTTTGAGGCTTTTCCACGAGTTTCTTTCCATATCGATCCCGTGATGCTTTGTGTAGCTGACCACAATGTCGTATTGTTGATCAACTCGGCAGTGACATCAAATTCGACTCCAACACTTCCGTTACTAAAAAAATATATTCGTTTCGAAGAAATTCTAAAGTTAGGTCTGCATATAATATGCAATATGTTTCGTGGGAATGGTATAGGCTAAGGTTTGCCACGGGCTGTGTTGCTCGAAAACTGTGTATATTTGACGTGATCGATATAAATTCCACGTTACTTACTAAAATTTGATTATGTTTATCTTGAATATGCTGTAGTCACGTGATCTTGAGGCCTGGAATAACTTGTGCAACTGCAAGATCAATACATGACANTACAGATAGTCTTTGAATGTTGATGTATAAGGAGTCCAAGAATATTAACTTGATTTTAGAGGATGTAAAACAACTGTTATCCCTCCTTTGACGCACAGAACACACAAGATTTGGTTGAGGAAAACTAGTTTCGTCTTTACTAGAGCTTTTCAATTCCTCGATCTACAACTGTTGTGCATTGAAAAGGTTTAGTAAAGTCGAAACTAGTTTTCCTCAACCAAGTCTTTTGTGTTCTGTGCGTCAAAGGAGGGATATAAGTATTCTAACATCCTCTAAAATGAAATATCAAGAAATATTAGCTTGGGTTCTCGATAAGCACGGGCCAGCACCTTCRTACAATCATTTTCAAAACGACGAATTTGGAGGATCGTCTTCTTTTCTTGCTTCAACCTTTGTGACTGAACGGTAAGACGAATCAAATTATGATTTACTTTACAAATAGAATATTTTAATGTGAACGATTTATAAATACAGTTTTTTTTTCGCTTAAACTAATTATTTTTAACTTTGATTCTTGACAAACAGGAGCGAGCACCTGCACTTCAMAGACAAGTCTAACCACAATTATACGCGTGTCCGAATGAAAGTGCCTTCGATTTCTAAGACCCGTCTACACGAGCAAAGTTTTTATGTGACAACTATATGTGACATTTTTTTGTCTGTGTTGACAGGTAGCCAGAAATTATTGTTGAAGACTCGCGCCAACTGTGATTTTGCACAGCGGAGATGTCAATAAACAAAACAAATTTAATTNGAATTGGTTGATGGGTGGGTGGGTTTGTTAGTGGGTTTGTTGGTTGGTGGGTGGGTGGGTTGATTGTTTGGTGGGTTGATTGGTATTTTTTTCGCTTGTTTGGTGTGTGGGTGGGTGGGTGAGTGGTTGGTGGATGGTTTAGCAGGTTGGTTGGTGGGTTGTTTGTCTTTTGGACGATGATTGGTTGATTGCGTACATGTCGACTTACTTTCTGGCATAGTTTGTACATAGACAGGAGTGCTCCAAGGTCCATCGCCGTGCTCATTAAACTCCAAAACTGATAAATTATACTTGGTTGACGGCTGGAGGTTAAGAACCTCGAAATCCTTTGAGTTAGGATTCGTCGTATTTATCGTTTTATATCGATCATCACCGACTACAATGTATTGAATCTTAAATCCTTGAGGAGTTCCGTGGACGAATAGCAGAGGAACTGGCTTCCATGCCAGGAATATTTTATAAGGACCAATAGGTACCGCCTTTATTATGACAGGGGATAGTGTTGGCGCTGAAATAGTAATCAATCAATCAATAAGCAATCAATCAATCAATCAATTAGTGAATTTGCAATCGACAATCAGTCAATTAGCAGTCGATCAATCAATCAATCAATCAATTAGCAATCAATCGATCGATCATCCCAATTAATGAAATACTTGATCGATTTTCCAGATATTCCCATTTAGCATGACAAACTCACCTGGTGGCGGACATTTTCTCACTCCACAGTACTCCCAGCGTATGGTTTTATTTAAGGTGTAGCACCAAGGACCATTAGGTGCCTGGCCTCCTGGATTACGGCACCAGTTGGAAGCATTAACAAGTTCAGGATATTCACTCAATGGGTGATGGTGTCGATGAGGACATTGTGAAGACCACTCTTGACACACGTGATCTGAACGCGTCATACTAGCATTGCCTTGGTAACCAAGACCATTTCCATAGTAACAATCTAATCGACAATAGTGTATTTCTTTTGATTTTGAAAACGACGTTATTTTCGATTACAACGGTAATCAAGCCGCCAATGGCAACACAACTCGAAGATTGATTGTGCAGACGAATACAGAAATATATAATGATGAATCGAATTATAATTACTTAACAAATAGAATTTTAAATAAACGATTTATGAATATAGTTTTATAATTTAACTTCGTTTCTGGAAACATAAGCGAGCGCCGGTGAGATGAATACCACTCGATCTACAACTATGAGTAAATGCTGCCACGACCAGAAGCGCTACATCTGGATCCGAAAACAAATAAAATCACCGCAAGTGTCAAAAAACAATAACAACTAAATCCCTAAGAAAACTTGGAGTTCAATTATTAAGCAAACAATATAAATTTCAAGACGTAACATTGACTAATATTTCTCATGTTGGTTGGCGAAAACAAATTGATACCAGAACAAAATAAAAGCAAAGGTGAAGCAAATCGACGAATACTAGTGATCACGTGGGCTTCCAACATAAAGAGCTTAAAGTTACATTATGGCTTCATTTCTCCACATTCATTACTGATGAAATTACCCAAAAACAAGTTTGACTTTTGTTTTAGCCACAAATATGTAAAATTTGCGATCTTTGGGTAAATGCTGCCACGTCTAATAGTATCGCTACACCTGGCAGCGAAAAAACGCAAAAAAATCACCGCAAGTGTCCAAAACCAATAATAACAATCGATGTCGCTAGTCCAATTAAATCAAACAATATAAACTTCAACAAACAGCCAAATAGATANGGTGGGTTGATTGGTATTTTTTTCGCTTGTTTGGTGTGTGGGTGGGTGGGTGAGTGGTTGGTGGATGGTTTTGTTAGCAGGTTGGTTGCTGGGTCGTTTGTCTTTTGGACGATGATTGGTTGATTGCGTACATGTCGACTTACTTTCTGGCATAGTTTTTACATACACAGGAGTGCTCCAAGGTCCATCGCCGTGCTCATTAAACTCCAAAACTGATAAATTATATTTGGTTGACGGCTGGAGGTTAAGAACCTCGAAATCCTTTGAGTTAGGAGTCGTCGTATTTATCGTTGTATATCGATCATCACCGACTACAATGTATTGAATCTTAAATCCTTGGGGTGTTCCGTGGACGAATGGCAGAGGAACTGGCTTCCATGCCAGGAATATTTTATAAGGACCAATAGGTACCGCCTTTATTATGACAGGGGATAGTGTTGGCGCTGAAATAAGAAATCAATCAATCAATCAATTAGTGAATTTGCAATCGACAATCAGTCAATTAGCTGTCGATCAATCAATCGATCGATCAATCAATCGATCGATCATCCCAATTAATGAAATACTTGATCGATTTTCCAGATATTCCCATTTAGCATGACAAACTCACCTGGTGGCGGACACTTTCTCACTCCACAGTACTCCCAGCGTTTTGTTTTATTTAAGGTGTAGCACCAAGGACCATTAGGTGCCTGGCCTCCTGGATTACGGCACCAGTTGGAAACATTAATCAGTTCAGGATAATCACCCAATGGATGATGGTGTCGATGAGGACATTGTGAAGACCACTCTTGACAAACGTGACCTGAACGCGTCATACTAGCATTGCCATGGTAACCAAGACCATTTCCATAGTAACAATCTAATCGACAATAGTGTATTTCTTTTGATTTTGAAAACGACGTTATTTTCGATTACAACGGTAAAAATGAATATATATTCTATAATCAGTAGAGAAAACGTACCTGAAGACTTGAGTTTATCAGTTTCGTCTATTCGAATAATGCAAAAAAAGGAATGGAAATCACGTAACAACAACTACAAATCGAGATAACGTTTTTACTACGTTATATACGTACCATTCAAAGTTCTACTATAGTAACATTCGGGACTTTCACCGCCATTTCTCATCGGTAGTGAAGAGCAATTTATGAGCGTGAGTGGATCCAGTTTGCCTGTCTCAACCAGTTTGTCATTAAAAGACTGTATGAACTTGAGCTCTCTGTTGCACCTCTTATATAGGTCTTCACAAGTCTCTCTACATATTGGCTGTTTTTGAAGCGCTCCAGTTGTATCGTCGCAAGCAGGAAATTGATTTTTGCAGTAAGTTTCGTTGATGGATTTCTCGCATGATTTTGTAACTCGAAACTTATAAGAGTCATTAAAAGCTTTCCTTATGACAATATAAATGCCCAGCGCTCTTTCGTTGTAGTTTTGCTGCTCAACGCTACCGTAGATTTTCCATGTAATTCGGTCTTTGCAGTATCCAGTTTGTGGGAAWTGATACGGAAGGCAAGATGCATTCTTGGTATTAATAGATACTTCAGGAAAAGAGGCGACGCATCTGAATAAAAAGAGGTAAAATGGCAAAGTTACTAAATCATTGTATCTTATTTAAAGTGTGTGATGTGGTCGTGATTTTTGATTAAAAATTCAACAATGCATTGACAAATGAATGAATCAGGAAGTGTGAAATAAACGTAAGAAAAAAAAAAGATGTACAAAGGGTTTTAATTCCAATCCATACCTTGKTCCTATTGTCTCATTTGAATCTGCAACTGTAAAGGAATCAGTATTTCACGAAAAACTGCAAGACATCTCTGTAAGTAGGATTAAATTGTCAAACAAAGACAAAAAAATAATAATTTTCCCGATCTTTCGAACCAATCGATCTATCCCCTAAAGATTGATGGATCTAAAAACTCGTTAATTCGTTAATAATAATTTCGTTGAGGTATCGTTTGTTTGTAGGACCCCTCCCCCCCCCCTGACCAATCGATGGTCCATATTTCTTATCGTCAGCGACAATTAATTTTTCCTGTTACAATTCTATATAKCACACAGTCTTACGTCACACACTGTGATAAATATCATGTCATAAGCTTTCCTTGACAGWGCGCAAGAACATGCAAGAACTAGAGAGAGACTAAAGCTCGGATGCAATTCGTAAATAAAAATATAAAAGATTCTGTATTTTTTTAGTATTTTTAGCGACCTTAACTAACCAAACCTGYTACAACGAAGAATGACACTTGGAGGAGGAAAACTAATTGTTCTATCAACATCCTTAAAAAAAAAACAACAATAAACAATCAATCAATCAACCAATCAATCAATGAGTTAGCAGTCTACTTAGTTCGCACTTGAAATACGCCGTGACAATTGAACCAAAGCATGCGTGACGAGAACGTGCGTGACTGCTTCGATATCCTTTAATTTATGAATCAGTATAGAATATAAGACTTYATCAACATCGTATTTTTTCAATTGTTGAAATTTGGCTCCACACGTCTTTGTAAAAGAAACCCTGATTGTAATCTGTTTATGATTTACATATACATGTATTTTGCCAATGATTTATTATGGTTTGATTCCAAAAGGCGTCATCTTAGTCCATTGTTTTAAAGAGAAGACTACAAAAGATCTACATATTAATCAAAAATTGTTTTTTTCGGAAATGGTTGTGTCTATTATCATATCAAATTGCAAGCCTTTTTCTCTGATATAAATCTAGAAGTATCAATTTCACATATCRAATCGGATTTTAGCTGTTTGAAAATAGTTTAGTTTCCTTTAACGGAACATGAAGAGTTTGATAATCAAGAAGCTGTTATTTTGCCGGATTTGAGCGSTTTAATACAGGGCTGTTTTAATTAAATAACTAGCTCTATTAACTCATGATCACTGTTTACCTTCAGATGTACCATAGCAACATCTTCAACATAATTTCCACGCACAAATCTGGGTTATCTACATCGGAGGTCGTTTGCAAACAGTTTTTAAGTCTTCAATGCAAACAAAYTGCTTTTAAAGAAACGAAGAATACGTTGATATTGTACGTAAAGTTGTTTTCATGCTTGACAGACTTCACCATGTCGTGGTATGTTAGCAAGAAATCATCAGACTTTGACTTTGACACATTTCAGGAAGTGACCTGACCATTGCGATGACGTAATACATATGATCTCCCCAGCATTAAATTATGCAGGTTAAATGTTTTCTTTGTACAGAATTAGGAGAGGAAATTTACTCCATCGAAAATTGTAATTGTCCCCGCCACATTCGTTTTAACGTGAGCTATTTCAGGCTCTTTAGAGGTTGATTAAAATAAGATTTCTATGATTTGAGAAACACAAACCTTTCTTGCGTACTAATCAAAAGGCAAAAAGCTTCGAAACTTGAAAGCGAGTATGGCTCAACTGAGCAACAAGAAAGAAGACATTTTTGTTTTTGTTTTGTTTTCTTGTCTGTTTGTTTGTTTGTTTGTTTGTTTGTTTTTTTCAGAACAAAACCATACGATCGCAAAGCATCCTGGGTGATACTGTGTCTTTTATATTTTTATTTATATTTAATTTATTAAGAATTAACCACAATGGTTTCGAGTACATTCGAGTGGTACCTCAAAACCTCTTTTCCTTTTAATTAATAGCAATAGTTTATGACAAATCAAATTAAACACTATTATATAATAGCATGATGAATCTCATTGAGTTTAAGCTTCGAGTACCTTGCTTGCCAACTTATTTGGCAAATTTGAATCGACCAGGATCCTACGCCGGTACTTAGCAGAAGAAAAGACAGAGCTATATTTCTCAATTTCTATCCTGTATCACGTTTTTTCATTAGTATACTCTATTATACATGCATCTTCTCAAAAATATTCCTATCTATTAATAATGTTAATAAACCCTTTTAGCGATCTCTTTTACGCTGCTTTAGCCGCAAAACCATGTAATAAATTCTTTTTTTCACTAACAGTACGTGCAAATGCAGGATCGAAAACTGCGAGTATGGAAGACAATGGAAATATATTGAAATCTCACGAGTTTTATCTAAATTTTTGAATATTTCGCAGAAATTGAGCGTAAAAGAGATCGCGAAACTCAACTATTTTGCAAAGAAACTTTATCGTTCTTTGCAAGACCGCCATCTTGATAACTTTAATAAACACCAAGATGCACCGCGTCAATACAAGTATGACGTCATTAGACCATATATGGAAAATAAACACGTCATTTCAACAGCCATGCTCACTATTCCCTCTGAATTCTTCTAGTGAWATAGCGTCGTTTATTCCTTGATCGTCGCTCAGGCAGTTTTGTAATATAACCGGCTCGTGGTATATGTGATTATCGGCGCTGTTAGACTCCTAGAATTAGTCAAGCAGTCAAATCAATTCACAAGCAGACAACACACCTACATACATACATAGGTAATTTAATTTTCTTTATTTTT